GTCAGCCCTAATACTCCAATCCCCAGAAGGCCAAAAAACCCTCAAATGAACTCTTCAGGCTTCTCCCGAAAAGCGCTCAAACGCACGTTTCAGGTTTCCACCGTTACGTATGCCTCTCGCCCCCTACAAAGCCGCCTTGCCTTCCATGCAGGTAGCTTGCAGTAAGGCCAAGCACCTGAGCATCTCGAATCTGAGGGAGCTTACTTGGAGGATCAGGGGACTTAGTAAGTGGGGTTATAAGCCCCTAATTGAAGTTATAAGTATAGTTACTTTATTTATAACCCTAGTTACTAAGTCCCATGATCCTTTAAGTAGGGCTTCGGAGTGTGAGGGTTCAGGGTTCATGGCTCCGGGCTTCAGGGTTAAGGGGTTTAGGTTTTTGGGCATCTTAAGCTCTATAGGGGCTAGCGGCTAGTGATCCACTGTCTCTTCGTGGCTCTAGGATAGAGGGCTTCGGGGTTGGAGGATTTTGACAGTTGAGGGATCGGGTGCCTGGGAACTTCGCGACGCCTCTGTGCAGTGGCTCTAAACCCTAAGCATCCCTAAACCCTAAGAAACGCGAAGCCCCCGGAAACCCGAAGCTTTCCGCCGCCGCCGCCAGTACCTTATAGACCCTGAGCAGGCATAATTACGGACATATATAAAGGTGACAGTCATGCAACTGAGAGTACACAGTTTGGGGAAGACAGTGTCTAAGAGCATGTCTTGCCAAACTTTGACCACATGGGAAGCAAAGACAAACCAGTGAGGCTCCTCAGCTGCGTGACAGACTTCAAGGCCCCGACACTGTGCCGACACTCTACAAAAACCACACCAGCCCAAGCATAAGCAAAAAACATGAAACCCAAACCCAAGTGCTCAGCCATAATAACCCTCATGTCATGTGTATATATATATATATATATATATATATATACATATGTATATATATATAATAATCCGCCGACCCCTGCGGGCGGCGCCCGTGATATCCCGAGAGGTGTCCGCACCCACACCGCTTCCACCGCCTCCACCGCTCTGTTAAAAGAGTCTTTCACCGCTGTTATAGGTGTTTAAAGAGTATGTAAAGGCTGCCAATGTGTGCCCGGACCTCTCCGCGCCCCCAGTGCCCCCACCGCCCTCACAACCTCCACCACCGCTCTGTTTAAAGAGTCCTTCACCGCTGTATCTGTAGGTGTTTAAAGAGTATATAAGAGTATTTAAAGGCTGCCAATGTGTGCCCAGACCCCTCCGCGCCCACACCGCCCCTACCGCCACCGCCGCCCTTTTAAAAAGTATTTAAAGGCTGCCAATGTGTGCCCGGACCCCCCCGCGCCCCCACCGCCCACACCGCCCCCACCGCCCACACCGCCCTCACCGCCCTCACCACCCCCACCACCTTCATCCCCCTCCACCGCTTGCACCGTTCCCACCGTCTCCACCGCTCTATTTGTAGGTGTTTCAAGAGTAAAGAGCATTCCACCCCCCCCACCGCCCACACCGCCCTCACCGCCCTCACCACCCCCACCACCTTCATCCCCCTCCACCGCTTTCACCGTTCCCACCGTCTCCACCGCTCTCACCGCCCGCTGTATTTGTAGGTGTTTAAAGAGTAAAAAAAGTATTTAAAGGCTGCCAATGTGTGCCCGGACCCCCCCGCGCCCTCACCGCCCACACCGCCCACACCGCCCACACCGCCCTCACCGCCCTCACCACCCCCACCACCTTCATCCCCCTCCACCGCTTTCACCGTTCCCACCGTCTCCACCGCTCTCACCGCCCGCTGTATTTGTAGGTGTTTAAAGAGTATATAAGAGTAGCCCACACCGCCCACACCGCCCCCACCGCCCACACCGCCCTCACCGCCCTCACCACCCCCACCACCTTCATCCCCCTCCACCGCTTTCACCGTTCCCACCGTCTCCATATAAGAGTATTTAAAGGCTGCCAATGTGTGCCCGGACCCCCCCGCGCCCCCACCGCCCACACCGCCCACACCGCCCCCACCGCCCACACCGCCCTCACCGCCCTCACCACCCCCACCACCTTCATCCCCCTTCCACCGCTTTCACCGTTCCCACCGTCTCCACCGCTCTATTTGTAGGTGTTTCAAGAGTAAAGAGCATTTCACCCCCCCCACCGCCCACACCGCCCTCACCGCCCTCACCACCCCCACCACCTTCATCCCCCTCCACCGCTTTCACCGTTCCCACCGTCTCCACCGCTCTCACCGCCCGCTGTATTTGTAGGTGTTTAAAGAGTAAAGAGAAATTAAAGGCTGCCAATTGTGTGCCCGGACCCCCCCGCGCCCCCACCGCCCACACCGCCCACACCGCCCCCACTGCCCACACCGCCCTCACCGCCCTCACCCACACCGCCCTCACCGTCCTCACCACCCCCACCACCTTTATCCCCCTCCACCGCTTTCACCGTTCTCACCGTCTCCACCGCCCGCTGTATTTGTAGGTGTTTAAAGAATAAAGAGGATTTAAAGGCTGCCAATGTGTGCCCGGACCCCCCCGCGCCCCCACCGCCCACACCGCCCCCACCGCCCACACCGCCCTCACCGCCCTCACCACCCCCACCACCTTCATCCCCCCACCGCTTTCACCGTTCCCACCGCCCGCTGTATTTGTAGGTGTTTAAAGAGTAAAATAAGTATTTAAAGGCTGCCAATGTGTGCCCGGACCCCCCCACGCCCTCACCGCCCACACCGCCCACACCGCCCACACCGCCCTCACCGCCCTCACCACCCCCACCACCTTCATCCCCCTCCACCGCTTTCACCGTTCCCACCGCCCGCTGTATTTGTAGGTGTTTAAAGAGTAAAATAAGTATTTATAAATAGGCTGCCAATGTGTGCCCGGACCCCACCGCGCCCCCACCGCCCACACCGCCCACACCGCCCTCACCGCCCTCACCACCCCCACCACCTTCATCCCCCTCCACCGCTTTCACCGTTCCCACCGCCCGCTGTATTTGTAGGTGTTTAAAGAGTAAAATAAGTATTTAAAGGCTGCCAATGTGTGCCCGGACCCCACCGCGCCCCCACCGCCCACACCGCCCACACCGCCCACACTACCTTTATTGTCCTCACTGCCCGCCCCGGCCTTGCGATGCGCCGCCGCGCGCGCGCGCGACTTTTTTGTCGTACCATGTCGTACCATCCCATGGCCACAACTGCACTGGCTCCGTATCTTAAGCATATCGAATACAGCCTTCCGGCTAAACTCGGTTTTGTGCGGATGCCTTTTGCCTCTGAGTCACAAGGTTGCTGAAACATGCGCACACAATGTCCGAGAGCTGAGCACTGCGTCAGTCCGAAGACTTCGCCGCATCAGTCATGTGCTCATGCTACTCGTGCCAGTTACAAGACTTGCAGTTGGCTGCTTTCAACACCTGCTGCGTTCCTTGGATAGTCACCTCTCTTCTTTTGGGGTCGGCGGCAGTGGCGGCAGCCCATAAATAATATACATCAATATCCGAGACCCTTGAAAACCTTTAGCCTTCAAACTCCAACCTCAACACAACACCGCAATTCTTAAACCCTAAAGGCCCAAACCGCTCACAAACCAAAATCACGCAACCGCACACCCCGAAGGAAGCCCCCAAAAGCGCACAAGCTCACACACGCTGAACCTAAAACCCAAGAGGCTTTCAAGGATTGATTTGTTGGTGTTTCCCTGCAAACCTAAGCCCCAACCCTAAAAGCCCCACGAAAACCCTAAAGCCTGTAGCCTCCTTATCAACCCCAAACCAACAAAAACCCAAACCGCAAGCTTTGCAAACCATAGGGGGGCCCTGAAATAAATCAATAGGGAGCCCTAACCACCCCTAAACCCTAAGCCCAAATAACCGTAAAAACCTGAAAAAGCCTGAACCCTGAAAACCTTCAACCCTAAAAACCCCTAAACTCTATTAAACCCCAAGCCCTCTAACTGGAAGTCCCAGCCAACTGGGTCCCAAGTACCTGTGTAGTAGAACTTAGGGTCTCTATAGTAGGAAGTCGTATTTATGGCTTGGGTCAGCATCCATTATCGGGGATACTTACTTAACCATATATACTAACTCCCACGATAGAAACCCCTAAACCCTAAACCCCTGAACCCTGAACTCCAAAACCCTGAAAACCTTGTGCCCTAACCTCAACCATACTTAGACCCTTTGGGGAGGATAGCCGGGTCGCCCGGGGCAGCTCCCCGCTTTGCTTCCATGCTTTCGGCTCCTGCCTTTACGTGCTTGGAGGATCAGGGGACTTAGTAAGTAAGGTTATAAGTCCCCTAATTGGGGCTACAAGTAATTATAAGTATAGTTACCTTATTTATAAACCCTAGTTACTAACTCCCATGAGCCTTTACGCGGGGCTGAAACAAGGGTTGGGGCTTCTAGGACTTCAGGTAGGGTTTGTAGGGTTGAGAACCCTAAACCCTAAACCGTGAGGTTTAGGGCTTTAGGGCTTGGGTAGGGTTTAGGGCTTAGGGCCGAGGTTCGGTCTCGGGTTCAGGGTAGGTTGGGTTTGGGGTTCAGGGGAGGGCATGGGTTGGGCTTTAGGGCTTAGGGCTTAGGCGTTGGTTTAGTGATTGGGGTTGAGGTTTAGGGCCTACAAGTTACTTACAGGCGCTGTTGTTTTGTGGACTCATTGCTGCTACGTGGGTGAGATTCCTGAGAGGGGAAGAGCCGGTGGCTGCTGTTGCTGTCTCAACAACGAGGCCCCAACCCAGAGGGTGTAGGCTGTATAAGGTCTTAAGGCCTAGAGGCTCTATAGGGATTGCAGGGTTGATAGGGTTGAGGGTTTAGGATTCAGGATTTCGGGCTCAGTGTTCCTTGTGACCGGCAGGAGGTCAGAGTAGGGGGGTGGTGAGATGGGAGTGGGAGTGGGTTGGAGGTGGCGAAATCGGTCGATGTCGATAGGGCCGCAGAATGGTTGGGATTTGGGGTTTCGGGTCGGATTGTGTGTTCGCAAGTCCACGAAGCGTCACTCCCAACAGTGTGCTTGAAATGGCTAGACATTGTGCTTGAAATGTCTAGAGGCTAAGCATTAACACCCCCCAAGTCCGCCACCCTAAACTTGACAATGGAGCATCTATTCGAAAAACCCTACTTCACGCCGGAGGAACCCACCAATTTGAAAGCACAGACGCATAAGCGATGCGACGGGGTCTCTGCCAACAGCATGATGGCCTTAGTGATGTGGTGTTCTACTGCCCGAAGCTGCCGTTGGTTTGGTTGTAGCACCGCGGTGAAACAGAGACACGAGCAGAAAACAAGAACAATATGACATGTACACTCCATGGTCATTTTCCCCAGGGGGCAACACACAATATGCCTTCAAAGCCCTAAAAATCCCAACCCGAATCCCACCCATATCATATCACATCATGCACATGCGTCAATTTCTACATACCTATGTATCTTATAGTATGTAATGCTACATAGCTATATGAATATATATATATATATATATATATATATATATATCAATATATCATATCATATCATATCATATCAGGTACCAACATACACGCAAAACTGCAAACATCCATAAGCATAAAGATACGACCCCTCAGTTCTCCAGCCCCACACCTGTGGCCCCGAGCCGTGAACTCCAAAGCTTTCCAAACCTCACTCTACCCATGGGCCCCATAGCAGTTCCTTTTTGGGAGCACCTTATAGAATTCTGAATATTAACACCAAAAAGGAACTACTATGGGGCCTATGGGTAAGTACTCAAACCCTCATCGGCTAGCGAACCTGAAACCTCACACCGTTACGTTACCAAGTGCTGCAACGCGGCATTCGTCCAGGATGAGGAGACTTAGCTGCTCCAGGGAGAGGTAGCACCATTCTGCAATGGCCTGCAAGGATTACCGACCGCTTAGGGTTTTGGGGCTTATAGGGTTCGGGAGACGGGTTTTTGGATTTATAGCTTGTACCTTGCAAGACTGAGGGCGCTGTGTTTGCACGACTTCCGAGTTTTTTCTTCGAGGGTCTTCCAGGAGTCTTGTCTACACGCCGTTGGGCTCCGTTGTCGCGAAGCTGGACAGGGGTGACCAGAAAGGGCCGTGAGTTCTTTCAACACCAACCAGCATGGATTCTTCTGCGGTCTTGCCAACTGCTGAGGTGACAAACCTTGGCACATACTTAGGATTTGCGACGCTGTATGCCAAGATGCTGAAGTGAACACAAGACGCAGCATGTTTGCTACAGGTTCCTGGGCTTGCAGCCCTGTTAAAAGCCGGATTAGTACCTCGAAGAGAAGAACCGTTCTCATATAGGAAATCTAAGAGAAGAAGCTTGCCTGCTTCGCCAGCTGGCCGGTGGCCACCACTACCTGGTGAATGTCAAGGAGTTGCGTCCAGCCTCAGCTCCCGCAGGGAGGTTTAAACAAGGAAACTCATAAGCCTTACCCATACGCTCCATAGCAGGTCCTTTTTGGGATCGCCTTATGGGATCCACATATGAACCACAAAAAAGAGTTCGAGCTTTGGGTAACAGTTAGAATCAGATTTCGGGCATAGTATTACTATCTAGGAACTCTAAGCGAACATATTCCGACCCCTATGGTCGGCTTCTGAGAATACCCCGTCTAAACTGAGGATGATCCTATGTAGGACTCTATAGTTGAGGGGTTGACTAATCAAAAATCTCCAGTTGACGGTTTCAGATGGTTTAAGCCAAACCTTGAGCACTGGACACGGCAAAAAGCCACCAGCAGCCTAGAAACGGGGGCAGCTCCGAAAGAATTTACTATAGTCTCTACTAGGGTTTAGGGTTTAGGGCTTAGGGATTAGGGTTTAGGGTTTTCTACTACTTGAGGCACAGGCTTGCGGTTTCCGGATGGATCACCTAAAGCACGCGAGCATAATGTGGAAGAACTTTTTGCGCACTGAACACGTGTTCACTACGTTAAGGGATTAGTAGCTAGGACCAGTAATCAGGTAACCCTACCCAAGCACTACACATATGGTATCGATACCAATAGCAAAGGTGCATGGCACATGACCAGTGATTTGCTTCCTTATCCCCCGAACTCTATATCCGGAAACCCACAGCTTGCAGGAACACATACAAACAACAGACACAATCCATCACTGGCAGGGGGCGTTCCCGTGTAGCTGGAATCGTGCCTCCAGTGACGTCCGCAACTTTGATCTCTGGAACCTCATTGGCCATTGCTGAGGTAAGGCTTTGCCAGCCCCATGCCTATACTCTCAATCCTAAATCCTGCGATTGTAGGTTCAGGGCTGTCCGCTTCTGCCTGGCAGATCCACATCCGCGGTGGCCATACTCGTCGGTGTCATCTTGAGAATGCTTGTTTTTTGATGGCAACTTTACTATGGAGCTTTGGCTGAGGTAACTTTCGGCGAAGACTGAGGCGTTTTCCATGTTTGGGGGGTTCACGGAGTGCGCCCGGACAGCTAGCAACATCCTGGGACCAGAACCTTCATCTCACACACGGTCCCTGAGCTTTGTCCATGAGTGTCGGAATTTCACACAAGCTAAACTCTTAAGGCCTGACCTTACGAACTCAAGATGTAAAGCTCTTAACCCTCGTGAGCCATCATTGTAAAACCAAAATTCCCACAAGACGTAGACCTACAGTAGAAGCCAGAAAGTTGGAACATCATTATCCTCCCACACCTAAGGTAAAGTATGGGGAATCCCAACACTACGCATCCTGAATCTATGTTCCAGCTTTCTCGGATCCATTTTTAGCCTGGCAGGCAGCTGTGGATGTACTCTGGATGTAGGCAGCCTGTTGCTTCGCTAGCTGGACTGTAGGCACCTGAGATTAGGACTTTGGGGTTTAAGGGCTTCTGGGTGTCAGGTTACAGAACGGCCTTACTTCATGTAGGAACTCCGGCTTGTCTTACTTCATCTAGGAACTCAAGGTTTTTTAATAAAAGGGACCTCACTACTTCGAGCAGGATTTGGGAATCCAAGGCTGAACTTGTCCGAAGTCCTTGGCATCTAAAGTGTAAGACACCTCGCCCAGGGATCATGATCCACCTAGCAGGCTGGCTCAGCGCTGAGGGTTTTTATAGAGTTCAGAATTACAATCGGCGCGGCTTAATTATGCCTGGGAGTGCCCGAACAAGAGCAGAAGCCTTCGTCCTGCAGAACTGCCAAACTGTCATCGAAGCAGGCTGCAGAAGCTGGGTTCTCGTCAAGGGATGTGATTTAAGTTGCCATAATAGGGATCTATAGTAAATAATGTGCCTTCCTTGTTATGGTAACTTGAATTAAAACCCTTACCAAGAACTCAGGAATCAGGGATATTGGCCCAAGCAACCTGCTGGAATTGGTCGACATCGACACACTAGGCCTTAAGCCCTAAACCCCACACCCTGCCACCTTAAACCCAGACCCGAAAACGACATGTAAAGGTTAATCTTCGGTTTCATTGTACCCCCAGAAAGGTTAGCTACTCTACCACGTCTAAGGTGATGGGTTGGGGCTTGCAGGCTCATGATCGATGGCTAAGGGTTTGAGGATAAACAATAGGCGTTCGCTGTTTAACGTTCAGCGATGGAGGGTTTTGGATTTGAGTTGGGGGTTTAAAGTTTAGGGTGTGTAACCAATAAAGGTTTATAGATCTTCCGTGGCCACGGCTGAGGCTGTCGCGCACATCAGCACCTTCTTCGAAGGGTTTCTCTTCAGGTAGAAATCGATGCCTCAGTTTAGATCAAGGTAAGTATCAAAAACAATCTGCCGAACGGGAAGGTTTCTGCGACACCTTGAGCCCGCAAAACACTCGAACGCCCTTATACTGTTGCAAAAAATCACTTGCTGCCCGCACTCTGAAAATGTCGATAGGCTACACAACTGCTGGCATACGCTCGTGCCAGCATTGGCAAAGTATGCGCTGGTTCCTCATGACCTAGAAACACAAAGTATTTAAACACCCACACTTTGAGCTGGGAATCCGAGTCTCAAAGCCCTATACTGCAGCTCTTCGTCTAGTCGGCTACTTCTGGCCGTTGTTCTTGGAGTTGTCAGGAAATTTTCTGGCAGAAAAGAAAAACAACACAGTAGTGCAGCAACTTAGGAACCCTGACATTGTGGAACCTGAAAGAGTAGACCTCTGATCATGAGGAAACCCAAATAAGATCAAAGAAGATAGTTACTCTTGTTTTCGAAAACCGAACATCTGCTTCGAAGCGTCCAGTGCACATGTTGGAGCCGGGAGTGTTAAGAGAGAGAGAGAGACAGAGAGAGAGAGAGAGAGAGAGAGAGAGAGAGAGAGAGAGGAGCTTCGGGACTCGAGTGTCCAGGCCCTGTATGGCACTGTATGACCCTGAACCCGAGGCCATTAACACTAAACCCTCAGAACCGGCCCGACGCAGAGACCAATATCCCCGACTCATGGCATTTTCAGAATCAACCGAAGTGGAATCCAAGGCGCACATGACCGCAATGAGTGTTTTGCCCAGGCCAGTGTCCATGCTCACAATCGTGTTCTTCTCGCACACTTGCCTGGACTGCATGTGCGAGGTCGGATGAGGAAGCGAATGCTTTACTGTTCACTCCATCATACCCGGATATCATATACAGCTTATATACAGCATCTCCCACACAACGTTACACCCGAACTGTAGCTGAACACCAGACAAGGATCTAACTCTGTCAGTGGGTGTTTGGCACAGCATCATACCATTGCAATCTGTACTTGCATCCGTGTGTTCATAATATAGGGGCCTAAACTGTTACCAACACAATTTCGGGCTTCCTGAAAAAAGTATAGCTAATCATTAAGGCCCCTAGATCACTTCCCCCCACCAAGTGTTGTGGCTGCATCCTGGCGTCTTGCCCCGACTTTGTGGACGGCTGAGGGTGGCAAATCTCTCAATGACACAAAAGCATGACACACCACAGCCCCGTGCCAGTCCCCGAAATCAGCACCTACACCCTAAACCCCAAACTCTAAACCCTAAGTCCTAAACTCCTCAACTCTAGATCCTAAACTCCTAAAGTCTAAATCCCAAACTCTAAACCCTGAATCCTAACTCTAAATCCTAAATCCCCAACCCTCATGCAGGAATGGCCTGAACGCCTCCACTTGGTAGCTGCGTGGAACAGGACTCCCCGGCCACATGAGTTGCGCCAGGGCCTGCATGCAGCGGTTTAGGGGTTTAGGGGCTTAGGGGTTTAGGGGTTTAGGGGTTCGGGGTTTAGGGCACCGATCTTCCGAGGTGTTACCGCTCATGGCTGTAGGTCTAGATTCACATACGCGAATAAACAGGTAACTGCGCAATGCAAGCAAAACCATAGGAAATATCTTATATTCCTGTATACAAAAACATGCAAAGTATACATTATGCGCGCGCATGTATATGTATATACATATACACACATCATACATGTATGTATGTATGTCTGTCAGTAAGTTGGGGTGAAGAAACCTGGCACCATGACATAATAGAGGGGTATCAATCGGTTCCGATCTACTGTGGTGGCACATCGCTCTTTTGTCGCGATACTTCCCATCATCGGGACTTGCTCGTGGAAATAGATGCGTTGGCGTTGTCGTTCTGATCTCGAAATTTTGGCACAAGAACCCTCCCTGCTTGCCAAACTCGCAACTGCAATCCTGGGCTTGCTGGTAGTTGCTTTCCTATGTACCCTATTTTTTTCCATGTCTGCTTGTGCCGTTGTACTATTGACACACTGTCTCATTGCATTCATAGTCCCCTGGAAGCATGCTCTGCACAGCCGCAGTACAGTACTCCGTGGGCATTGCGGCCCTCCCTCCCTGCCTGATCTCCCGCTCTCTCTCTCTCTCTCTCTCTCGCTCTCTCTCTGTCTCTCTCTCTCTCTCTCTCTCTCTCTGTCTCTCTCTGGCTTTCGGTGACTCTCTCTCTCTCTCTCTCTGTCTCTCTCTCTCTCTCTCTCTTTCTCTCTCTCTCTCTCTTTCAGTCTCGAAAACGGCATCTGTATGCACAGGCAGATGAGTGTATAAACAGTGCATGTGTTTGTACACATCTGGCCCTAATGCCCGCATGGTGTACCTGACTACCATAGCACAGCATTACGATATGACAATAACGTTAATGTCAGCAGGTCAGTATCTTTGTATGCGCTTTTCACTGAAAAAGCATCTTGCGCCTACAGGTACTACACCCCGAACGCTTTCGCACGTCTTCAACCAAGAACAGTTTCGACTTTGAATGGTGAGGTTTGTGCTTCGGGCTTAGTACTTAAGGTCTAGGGTTTGGAATCTATAGGCTTATCACTTCCTATGTAACATCAAACCTAAGCACGAGCAACGGCACCGGCCTGGTTGTGGATCTCCTCGAGATCCCTGATTTCATCTCCACAAACCCTAGACCCTTAACCCCCAAACCCTGACTTTCTCCACAGATGTTCCCCAACTCGCAGTAGGATACCCTGTGTTACTCAATGGCTACCGGGTTCTTTGGATGAGCCCAACATGGAAGCTGTAATCCTAATAGAGGGCCTGGAATAAATAAATGGAATGGGGTTTTGGGGTACGCCGTACTTTCTGTGATGTTAAGGAGTCAAGGAGCCCTGAAGAATCACGGTGGTGATTATTCAATCTCCTATATACTACAGGGAACTCCAGAAAGTTGGAATATGGTTTCATGGTAGGATACCTTATAATTTACCATAGAAGGGTTGGGATAATCATATCCAACTTTCTGGCTTTTACCTTAAAGCATTAGATCGGGGTGTGACCAATTCTTCTTTGTGGGAAGAGGGCTCCGGATCTCGGGTGGAAGCTCTAGTGTCTGGTTGGGGAATCGGGGAATGGGTTATGGAGACTATTTTTGGGGGATTACATAAAGGACTAGTATAGGGATCCATTCACCCATTCCCTACTAAGAACCAGACAGTCTAGGCTTTAGGGTTTGCTTGTTTTCGGCTTCAGGGCGTTTGCTTTTTCAAGGTTAGGAGCCTCAGGCGCTACAGGTGTCAGAGGGATCCTAGGATGGACATACCTCGATCTCAAAGTGGGAGTTTCCGAAAATTAGAGGTACCCTATTTTGATGGTCCTTTTAATGTAATTATAAGGATCCTACTATGTAGGGTACTACATTAGGGTCCCCTATTTTCGGAAACTCGCAAGTATAGCCGGAAGCCTAAACTCAACCTTTAAACCCGGTATACTGTCTGCATTCTCGCATTCCCTACTACGAACCAGACAGTATAGCATTCCGCATCACTCCCTCCCAAATCCTGAATTCGCAAAACTCAGAACTGGACAGGCGGCCAGCTCCCGAGACTTGCTCGTTGCTCGTACTATCAGGGCTAAGAATAAGAGAAAAGTGCTTTGGGGTATACTTCGGTATAGCTATAAATAAAGAACCCAGTATATCTACCTAGAAGGAACCATAGGCAACGCTCACATTCAAGCGCCGAGCCCCGAAGACTGTGGGATCAGGCGCATTACCTTTAGATAACCTCAACTTCACACCCGAAGGTCCGGAAATGCTGGGTAGGTGCCGATCATCGTCATCCTGCGCGTCGTCGCTGTCGCTGTCAGCAGCGCTAGAAACCATCGATGGACGGAAAGCTCACTGCTACAGGGGCCTTAATAGTTAGAATAGGTGTTAGGGCCCGTTATACTATAATTATAATAGGGAACCCCCCAAAATAGTATAGGTAATTAATAAGGCCCCTATACTAGCCTGTTTGCTTACGGAGTAGAGTCGGATCTGGCGGGTTTGGGTCAGGCACTGAGTGCATAGAGGGTTTGTCTCTGCAATTTGGCAAGTTTAGGGTTTAGGGTTTAGGGTAGTGTACGGAAGCCACATGGCCCACCAATCCCAATCAGGGACGCCTCTGGCTTGTTCCGTTATGTTTGCTTCAAGAATGTTAGGACATTTGCCCTTCAGCGTGGCGAAAGCCCGGGCCATGCGAGTACGCCCTAAACCACGTCACATAACCCTAAACCGTGTAAACGCTATACCCTAGCCCTTGCACCTCGACCCTGAACGCGGCGAAAAGCATCACGAAGTGGGTCCATGACGAGAAAGTATATGACGATAAGGGTCGCTGTGGCAAGGAATTAGAGTTCAGGGTTCGGGGCTGAGGTTCAAAGGCTTAGTTTCCAAGGCATGTACGGCAAAGTACACTTTCGACGTTCCGATAAGCGGATCGTGAAGCGACGAAAAATGTCTTCACAAATGATACGGCGTGTGCAGCCTCATCATCGTATCTTCCATATCTTCCTCAACATCATCATCATCATCAGTGTCGTCATCAGCGTCATCATCATGGAAAATCATGCGTGTGGCGAAGCGGAAGGTCGCACGTCTCACTACTTACCGATAACCATCAACATCACCGTCATTATCACCATCCATCACCGTTACGGCCTTGCTACGAAACCACAATGTGAATAATGGGGCCGTGGTGATAAGAATGGGGTTTTGGGTGGCACACCATAGTTTGACAAATCCATATAAACAAACTGTATATAGGATAGTAAGTGTACCTACAAGTATCGTGTATACAAGAGGGGCACCGGGAGAGGTAGAGACTATAAGAAGCTTCAGTACGAGTTATTCCGAGTACTGAGTTCCGCCGCTATCAGCTGGATTTAGTTCATCAGGGACTCAAAACCCTGAATACGACTTATTAACTACGCAACTGCAGACCAGGAATGCCATCACTACTGATTGGGCCGCGCCTCGCTTTGATCGCAAATAACCCAAACAAACTCTGCAAACAACGAAACCAGAATACGACAGAAACCCGGTAGGCAACCTTGACAAATCCTGCCAGCATCCAAGTCTCCCTGTATGAAGCCTACTGTACTATAGCTGCTGGCAACGAACAGTTGCAATCAGTTCAACTCCGAAGTCCAAACCCCCGAACCTAAAAGTAACAAATCCCCAACCGGAAACTTTCCAACACCCTAAAACAATACTACAGCACGCAAAACAAACCCACAAAGCCCATATAAGCGCACTATAACATCCATGCGTTCACCGTGCCTAAAGGATCGGAATTGAGCTCCCGAGCCGTCCCACCAGGTCCGAACCGCAGATGCTTGAACCTGCTTGGCCCACTGCTTGCGATTCGATGGTCTAGGGTTTAGATTTAAGACACAAAGAACGGTGTTGGGCCTTCTGGGCCTCCATAGTCTATATATTATAGGATCCTTAAGGGAGGTTGGTTCAAGGGGGGAGGGTATAAGGTATAAGGAATCCTTAGGGGACTGTAAGGGAACCTTAGGGAGTACCAGGGAGAATTAGGGATCACTAGGCTATATACCTTTCTTGGACCCCCCTCCCTTAAGGATACTACAAATATAGGGTTCTACAAGGTTCAAGGCTTATATGGGGGTTCGACTTGGTGCTTTAGGTTTTGAGGGTGTCAGGGTTCTTCGGCCATGGGAGTAGGAATTTAAGGCGGCTTGGGGATCCAAAATCCGCCCAGGTGTCTAGTTTACGGGTGTAGGGTCTCGGGTTTCGGCTGGTTTAGGGCTGTACATGGGGGTTTCCGAAAATTAGGGGTACCTTATTGGGGGGTCCTTAGAACAGGGATCCTACTATTTAGGGTACTATAAAAGGGTCCACCATTGTGGGAAACCCCCACATGGTTCTAGCAGCAGGTGAAAGAGCCGAAGCAGGTAGAGATGAAACAAAACCTGGTGGGGAGGATCCTGAGTTCGGGGCTGCTCTGTTTGAACCTTTCCAGTGTCTTCCAGGGGCTTGGGTTGCGGTTTCCGAAGGCGGGATTTTGGATTTCTTTGCGGTTTTGTTTGGCCTTCCAGTTCTCCGGGGGTTTAAGAAGTTTACGGTTTGGGTTTCGCGGGTTTAGCGCTTGCGGTCTTTTTTCGAGTGATCGGGTCTTCCACTGTACGCTGTCCTCTTGACTGCGAGGCAGTGGTTTTAAATCCAGCCCGAAACCTAAACCCTGAAACGCGCATCCCTGCAAAGCCCTGATGGCCTTTGAACGGACCCTGAAAGCCTTGCTTATAGACACTCAAAGTCAAAGTAGAAGAAAGGAACCCTAATAGTATCCCTTACAAGGGAGAACCCTTGAGCGAACCCTTAATACTAGGCGAACCCTTGAAGGAACCTTTACCCTGAGGCTCGAAACGGCCCAAAAGCCTTATATAACATGGTCTTTAGGCCCACAAGCCTTAAGATGTGAGTCCTAAGAGCCTTACCCTAAACCCTATAAACCCTAAACCCTGAAAGGAACCCTTAAAGGAACCCTCAGGGGCTTCTTATCCAGCTTTCCTTTCCCGACCTCGGGTTGCTGGTAGAGGTTGTGAAGAGCTCCTGCCGGAGGTTTCTAAGGGGCCTTCTAACTCGGAGGCCTCACAAGGTGGGATGAAGGTAGCTGGGATTAAGGATCCCTTATACCCTAAACCCTAAACCCTAAACCCCTGAACCCTAAATCCTAAAAGATCCCTTATATGAGGACTCTTATTTGGGAATATCCCACCTACCTTCATCCTACCTTTTGAGGCCCCCGACTGACGAGTTCTGTAAGGGATCCATATACGGGTTCTAGACCCAAGAGTAGCCTAGGAATAAAAAGGGTGCCCTTTTGGGGTTAAAGGGGGCTATAAGAGAACATAAACCCTAAAAAAGGAAATAAGGGCCTACTCGGGGTCCCAGGGCTTGATGGTTCTATTTGTGATATGGGTGGAAGGCTGATTCGATCCATGAACTGCTTTGGAAAGGTTTAGCGCTTGAGGTTCCGGGGTTTAGGGATGTTGGGCCTTGATGGTTAATTACTGATAGGGTTTGAGGGCGTCAAGGATTTAAAGACAGCTGGTTTGGGGCTTGAGCCTTTGTGCGCTGCTAGGATTTGAGACTTTCAAGGTCTAAGGCTCGACGGTTCCAGGGCGTTGAGAGGTTCAAGTGCTTGATGGTGTGAGGATGTCTTCGGGCTGCAGGGTTTAAGGGTTGGGGCTTGAGGATTAGAGGTTCTAGGCTGGAGTTGCTGAGTGTTCCGGGTTTTGGTTGAAGCGGTCAGGTTCTGCTCTGCGGATATGACAAGACCATGAATACTGCGAAAGACATGCATCCGGTCGTCTGGTCCTGGTAGTCTGCTGCGGTTTAGGGTTTAGGGTTTAGGGTGTCATAGAAGGCAGGTGCACGAACAATTTCGTACTATGTCTTTACTAGACACACGAATTGACAGTGCGACTACGCTTGTCGTGACTACCATCGCAAGGCCGCACCCTAATTTAATCCCTCTGAGACCTATAATCTTTCTACCCCTATTAAAGCACAGCAAGAGCCCGAGCAATTTGTAGTGTCGCCCAAACAACAACGCCGTAAACCCGAAGCCCGAAACGCCCAAGGCGTTTAATGTAAATAGCCTGAAACCCCTGACCCTGAAATCATGAACAAATGGAAACCAACTGTCCAGGCAGGCGAGGTGAGGTGCTCTTCTCACGTGGCCTCAGTTGATCATCTAATCCGAAACCCTAAGAAGACCCGAACCCTAGACCTCAAAACCCTCAGCACGAAACTGCATCAATGAACCGAGCTGAGCGGGAGAGTTACTTCTGTGTGACACGACCTGGGTTGCATCTGACATGTTCCTCTTCGTCGTCCGGGACATTAGGAGTGGATGTTTGGGTTAGGGTCAGGGTTTAGAAGTTAGGGTTTAGTGAAGGTAAAAGGGTGTCTTTTGAATGTCATGGCCGGTGCATGTTGTGTCCATCTAACGCCGATAAAGTTTGTCAGTCACGTAAGCACGGCATTTGCTAGACTGCCCGTGGCAAGAGTACCCAAGGTAGCGGTGCCGTAGTTCTCTGCTTGTGCCGGGTTAGCCCTGCGGACCCATAGGACTCCCCCAAGCTCAATCTGAAATCATTGAATCATAGGTCGTATAAAACCCCAACAGGCCCCAATAGCCAGAGTCCTGCATGCAGATCTTGATTACGCCGAAGTTCAAAGTAAGCCCAGAATCAGAACCCTCAGTCGCAGAAACCCCAACCCCCCTGAATTTGTATAGAACAAAAGTTCCCTGTGTAGGGCCTGGCATCTAGAACCGCAGGTTGAGGGTTTGAACAGTCAAGTTTTAAGCTTGTGGCCTTGTGCCTATAAGTATGCTCTCTCCGAACCTGCGTTTGAAAACTTGCACCCCTGGACTCTATACCAGTGGCCTAAGGTCTTTCGGACTTAGGCGCTTGGGATTTTTAGTACATCGAAGCAACAGAAGCAGAAGCCTTTCGGATCTAGGGGTTTGGGGCTAGGTTAACCGGTTAAAAAGCTCATGGTTGGGCTAGGATTAAAATTTGAGATTTCTATTCCTTATTGGGTTTAGGTACCCATAAAAATGTAAAATGTTACCCAACTATGACAAAGTAAACCGTGGTAGCATAAGTCTTTCGGACGTTGGAGCTTCAGTTTAGGGTTCAGGGGCTTCTTCGCAGTCTCGGCACGTAGGGCTTAGGGTGGATACTTGGAGGGCCAGGGGACGAAGTAAGTAGGGTATAAGTAGAGTTAGAAGTACCCTAAATGGAGTTACCCCAATGCCAACTTTCACCCTACTTATAAACGACTTACTAAGTCCCCTGGCCCTC